ACCTTTCCCCCCGCCCCTCCCCCCTCACTTACTCTGGGTTTATTCTGCCATTAGCTCTTTCCATCCCTTCTACTGTGTGTAAATATCAGCCGGGTCATTTCCTTCTGCCTGCTGAATTGCTTTTCTCCCTCTGAATGCGCTGTTCCCCCCACCTGGTTCGCTTCTGATCAGTTTTAATGTGTTTGTTTGAAGCCTTTTCCCCCCCCACCCCCGCCCCTCCCCCCTCACTTACTCTGGGTTTATTCTGCCATTAGCTCTTTCCATCCCTTCTACTGTGTGTAAATATCAGCCGGGTCATTTCCTTCTGCCTGCTGAATTGCTTTTCTCCCTCTGAATGCGCTGTTCCCCCCACCTGGTTCGCTTCTGATCAGTTTTAATGTGTTTGTTTGAAGCCTTTTCCCCCCCCACTTTCATTTGAAAGCAAATTAATTGTCCGATTCTTCTGGTTTTCAATGTCTGTCCTGTTGTGCTTCGTTAAAGCCAGCGGCTAATTGCTAAACCTTCCCCTACGTAAGCAGGCTATCTGCTCTGTCCGCTTCCAAAGCACAGGAAAGAAAACTTTGCCCGGATACCCCCAGTAAAGCACAATGGTGATGTTTCATTTCATTAGATGCTAAAGGTTCAACGGGAGTTATCCCGTCTGTCACAACCCAAAGAATCCCTCCCTCCCCCGGTGATTCCCGCATTACCTTGAGACTGAGCAAGAGGTTAGCTCATGGAGACATATCCAATGTCAAGCTAAGTGGTGCCAAACTGTGCATCTTTGATAATACTGCCTCTGAGCCTTGAAAGCCCATGAGATCGGCTTTAAAACACACCAAATGTTAAGCGAGCCACCCTCCATTTTTTTAACATTGTATTTTAGAGCTTTTCTTTCCGTTCCCCATCCGCTAAGCCCGTGGGTTTTTTAAAACCCCGTTTGACAGCTGAAATTCCTCCATCACACCACACCGGAGCTGCCGAGCAAGTGCCGGCTTCCGTGGGAGTTGCAATGAAAATCGCCCGAGTTGACCATGAAAACGTCGTCTTTGGGGTTTGGTCTGAAGTTGTCTAGTTTCACTTCTCAGCCACTGGGACTCCTGCCTCCGGGCTAGAGCTTCGGAGATCGTGTACAATGCAATGGAGCCCGCTCTGTGGCTTAAAAATATCAAGTTAAACGTCTCTCTCCCCGTACAAGGGTGAAAATTCACCACCGGCGAGGTTTAGACTTCAGAATTGACCATACTGGGGAGAGATTACAGCTACCCCTTCTTAAAAGGTGGGGGGCTGGAGTTGATGACCCTTCAAGGTCCCTTCCAGTTCTATGAGATAGGCATATCTCTTCAGGGGGGAGAGATATCTCAGTGGTTTGAGCATTGGCCTGCTAAATCCAGGTTGTGAGTTCAATCCTTGCGGAGGCCATTTAGGGATTTGGGGCAAAAAATTGTCAGGGATGGTACTTGGTCCTGCTGTGAAGGCAGGGGGCTGGACTTGATGACCTTTCAAGGTCCCTTCTAGTTCTAGGAGATAGCCCATCAGCAAAATTGAATCTTGGTCGTCCAGTCCCCTGCCCTCCTGGCAGGAGCAAGTACCACTAGATCATCCCTGATAGATGTCTGTCTAGATCAGGAGTTAGGACCAAAGGACTAAACAATTTGTCTCAGTAAGAATAAATATTTGGAGGCTGAAACATTGGTGTGAAATTACACTAAAAAGAAAAAAAAGTCATTGTTCCTATCAAAGAAATGATTACTGCCTAGGATTTGATAAGAGCACACGGTTTGTCTCCGCAAGAATGAATATTTATCAGGTGAAATCTATGCTAAAAAAACCCAAAGCAGGAAAGATCAAAGATATTTTCTTCTCCTGAAGAAGGTTTAGGACTTAATCCCTGGCTTGATCAGAATTGTAATATTTTTCCTCTGCAAAACTTTTGTCTTATGGGTTTGAAAAAAATGCTTGCATGTTTTACTGGAAAAAAAATACAACTAAAACATAAAAAAATGACAAAAAAAAGAACAAAAAACCCACCAACCCTGGTTTGAAATTGTGGTGTGTAACCTTTATTCTCTGCCTTGTGTTCTGCTCTCATCTGGAACAAGAAAAACACAACAAAAACAAAGCAAAAACCATGAATGAATGAAACAAAAAGAAATTTAACGTCTGTGTGGGTTGAAAAAAAAAAAGAGACTGAAAAAGCACCTGCTGTCTCGGCCTGTTTTTTCTTCGGTTCCCGTAGTTTCTGTGACTTTTGGGTTTTGTTCTCAGCTCCCTTCAGCTTCCTCTCTGCGGCGTTGTCGGACGGGCTGCCTCTCTGAACAACTTCCTCTTGGGCTCTCGACAGCTGGCCGGCGCTCCTCAACTCTGCCGCCGACTCTCTCCAGCCCTGGCTGGCTCTCCACGGCGCTCAGTGGCTCTCGGGCCTTTCTCTTCCTCCACGTGGCCCGGTCCTCTCCCCTCTTCCTCTCCCATTCGGGCCAGGTGTGCGGACCCCGCCACGCCGATTCCAGCCTTCCTGGGCCGGGCACCTGGGAGGGCGGAACCAGATGGGATCAGGGACGTGCCTTTGCACTCGCTAGGCACTGGGGAGCAGGGGAGGGAGGTGGGGTTATCTCAGATGGCTCCCGAAAGTAACCCTCAGACCCCTCTGGCAGTGGCTCCAGGCAAGGTGGCTGGGGGTCTCCATGTGCCACTGCCCACAGGCACCGCCCCTGCAGCTCCCATTGGTTGCAGTTCCCAGCCAACGGGAGCTGCAGGGTTGGTGCTTGCGGCAGGGGGGGCGGGGAGAAGGAGCACCCCCCCCCAGGGCCCCGCCGGGCAGGAGGCAGCTGCAGCCCCACGGTGCCGCTGGCGGTGGCCTGTGTCAATCGGCAGGGGCGGCAGGTGGGGCAAGGACACTGTGCAGGGCAGGCGAGCGGGGGAGGAACCCGGCCCTGAACATTAGTGTAGCTGGGCCCTGAATTCCTGGAGCTCAGGCCCATATAACTCGCCAGCCCGGCCAAGGAACGGCTCCCCTCCAGCAACATCTGCAGCGCGACCAGCGGCCCCGCAGCACCCGTCTCTGCCCCTGCTCCCCTCTCCGCTGCCACCCTCAGCTCGCCTGCGCCTCTCGTACACGGGGTGGTCCTCAGGGGTGCACCGGGCGGTGGATCGGGACACCTGGGTTCTCCAAGAAGGGAGGGGGGTCGGGTGATTTCGAGGGGGGGCTGGGAACCCAGACTCCTCTCCCCAGCTGTGGGAGAGGCAGGCCCTGTGTAGGAGCTCTTCCAGGGACTGGCCTCCGCCTCCCCCGCGCATCATTCCCACCCTCCACTTGTGCTGTCGCTGCACTGCCTGTCGGGCCCCCTGGGGCAAGGCCAGACCTCTCGGCTGCAGCCACCTCCCTGCTCCATCGCGCGGCGGAAAGGGGGAACTGGGACCAGACAGAGCAATGCGCCTTGAGAGGGAGAGAGCCCAGACGTGCAGGCCCTGAGCCCCCCCAGAAGGGGGCAGCACGGCTCAGACACAGCAGGACACGCACTCTCCCTGCCAACCGAACTGGGCGGCGCTAGGGGGCGCTGTGGGGCAGGGAGCAGGGCAGGGGGCGCTGTGCAGCAGGGGGCGCTCTCCCCTGGCAGGCAGGACTGGCTCTGGCACTAGGGGGCGCTTTGGGGCAGGCAGCGGGGCAGGGCCCAGCAGGGGGCGCTCTCCCCTGGCAGGCAGGGCTGGCTCTGGCACTAGGGGGCGCTTTGGGGCAGGGAGCGGGGCAGGGCCCAGCAGGGGGAAGCACGGCCCAGCACTGGGCATTCACGGTTTGCATCCTGCTGATACCCAGGGCCCAGGCAGAGGAGACGGTTTGCAGCCCAGCAGCGGAGTGGCCTGTGTCTAAGCCGATTGGTGGCTAATCACACAGGGCTGGATAAACCCCGCTCGTTACAGACTAATCTCTTTGGGGCAGGGAGCGGGGCAGGGCCCAGCAGGGGGAAGCACGGCCCAGCACTGGGCATTCACGGTTTGCATCCTGCTGATACCCAGGGCCCAGGCAGAGGAGACGGTTTGCAGCCCAGCAGCGGAGTGGCCTGTGTCTAAGCCGATTGGTGGCTAATCACACAGGGCTGGATAAACCCCGCTCGTTACAGACTAATCTCGTTAGAACAATCCCCTTGGGGTCAGGGTGACATATGCTCAGCCAGCCACGCCTGGGCGCACATCTGGCAGGGGTTGCATTAAGGGTGACACAGGCCCAGCCAGCCACGCCTGGGCGCACATCTGGCAGGGGTTGCATTAGCCTGTTTCTGCCTGGGAAGCTCTCTCGTCACCCGCAGCAGCCTGCTCCCCCACGCGCCCCCCAGCCACAGCCTGAGCCCCTCACACTCACCCCACCTTGCTCCCCTGCTGGCATCACTTGCAGCTGCCTCTGGGGTGGAGCAACTAGAACAGCCCTGCCTGGCCAGGAGAGTGCCCCCTGCTGCGCCCTGCCCCACAGCGCCCCCTAGTGCTGTACTGTGGCACTGGGCCAGCCCTGCCTGCTGGGGAGAGCGCCCCCTGCTGGGCCCTGCCCCTCTCTCTGCCCCCATAGTGCCCCCTAGTGCTGTACTGTGGCACTGGGCCAGCCCTGCCTGCTGGGGAGAGCGCCCCCTGCTGGGCCCTTGCAGCACAGACCAAAGCCCAGGTCTCTACCCCCCTGTCCGCCAAAGCTCTGCCAGTGCTTCTCAGTTCTGACCCTCAGCCCCCTGCTCTCCCAGCCCTGGGCTCCCCGCACCCCCGTCCCAGCTGGGGCAGGCCTCCCCCTCCCCCGAACAGCTGCC